ACATTTGGGGACACACCAGCAGTAGCAGGCTGCAAGGAATTTCCCTGCCAACCCCGCGAAGAGACACAACAACTCTGCGGAGTAAAGGTGACAGCCCCGCGGTGTTGCCCGCAGTTCACATGGCAGGAAGGATTCCACGCACGCATAGTTCCGGACACCTCGCTGTTTGAGTGCCCAACAGAACATGTGAAAAACACCCGCGCGCAAGACGGAATTTAAATACGTGAAAAAGTCGGCCTGCTTTCTCCGATGGCGCTGGCGAGCAGTCCCACACAATCCAATCAAAGTGACACGCCGGACGGAATGGCGTCCGTCAATCAATAAAAAAATGCGACACTGAAAGGGAGCAGAGAAGAGTTGGCGCATGCGATTGCCAGCGACAACTGTGAGCAAACCCGCCAGCACCAACTGAGGTGCCGAGGAGCACGTTTGTGTAGAACTGGCCGTCAGGCAGAGAGGGCAAACAAGACAAGAGGGCAGCAAACCCTCTCGTTCAATTTCTCCTGACCGCAAAACCAGAATCAAAATATCATGGACGATAAGAGCGGCAACGCCTTCTCCAAAACATCGTGTCAAGAAGCCGCAGGACCTCAGGAAGGGAGGAAGGCAACGGCGGCAGCCACAGCGGGGAAGGCAATAAAACGGCTGGCAGGCACCTTCACGTCGACGCGCACACCACATCCGAGTGGGCCGGGAGCACAGACCGAACCGCCCGGAAACACACGCATCAAATCCGCAAAACAAAGTCGCAGTGAATCGACAGGAACTCCCCGCCCAAAACAAATTTATAAAGTAGCGTTTTTCAAGGGGGAATCCGCTTTTACGACAACGGCACGGACGCCTCGCAGGAATTTCTTGCAAATCTCCCTTCGCAGGTCCGCATGAAAACGCAGCTGAATAAAAAGAGAGCGCAACGACGCAAAAAAAAATAATCCTCCTAACCCACCAGGTGGCAGGCCGCCCTCGCGCAAGTGGAAAAAACACAACTTCGCTCCGGTCTTGTCGTGGTGGTCGTCTCTCAACATTTTCTCCTTCTCGTCGCAGTGCACATCCCCTCCCACAAATCATTTGTTCGGGCCATGTTCCTGCGGCCAAACATCGCGCTGCTGGATCCCGCGGCACAGTCCTCGGCACAGAAGTGAGGGGAGGAAGAGGGACCGCAGAAGGTGCGAGCAAATCCGAACTCGGTGGCGGTCGCTGCAGTGAAGATTGACGTCCCACGCGGTGTCCCTTTTCTAGGCCAGGCCCTCGCCGTGCCATGCTCTCAGCGTGCGGTGCGCCGGCCGCTCCAAACATCCACACGTGCTTGCGTCTCACCGTCGCTCCCAGCCCCGTTCGTTGGCTGCATCAGGGATGCCGCCATCCGGAGACGGGCATAAGGACGTTGCATCCAACAAAACCTTCAGAGGCACCCGGTAGGCCAACGACGACCATCACTGCGGGATGTGCGGCCCTTCCGCCGCTCACCTCAAATCGCACCTCTACGCCTCCTCGAGCAGCAGCAGCAGCAGCATAAATACACCGGTCCACTAGGGGCCCTCACCAGCCATTGCAGGAAGATCACTGTGCCTCAGTGCCACGAAACCCGAATTGCATTGACGGGCCACTTCGGAAAACCCTGTCGCATCCTCCCGCATTATGCGGAAACACACCCGTCGTGCATGTGCCCACCGCAGCCAAATGAATCCGGTCCAAATACCATCCAAATCAAATTCCCCTTTCCTCACGCCATTCCTTCATTCCATACGCCCTGACCCTCATCCGCACGTGCCCACTCACACAAACCGCAAAAGAATGGTGGTGGCCGCCCAACGCTCCGGGAAAACATGCCCAGCACGCGCATAACAAATGACATGCGCAAAAGCACGGCACAACGGCGGAGAAGCGCACACCGAAGGGATGCAGCCCTCCACAGCCGTCGCAGCCCATCGCGCGCATCACACCCGCAGGAAGAGTGACTCGCCGTGCGAGCTCCCTCTCTCCTCCTTCCCTTCATGCCCACTAAAGGAAGCAGCAGCCACCCGCAACCGCCAGCACACGCTACAAAAGAAGCATCAAAATCCACTGCAATGTGCATCCTGTGCGTGCATGTGGTTGTGTGTGCCTGCAGACACACGAGGCAAAAAAGTAAAAACAGGAGCAGAGCATGTGAGGGGACGCACAAACTAAAATGTACAGCAGAAGTGCATGGCAGAAATAAAGAGAAAAAGACTGCTCAAGCTCATGATATTGCACTGCAGACAAAGCAGCGGCAATTCATTAAAAATTTATTAAAATTAAAAAAAGATTCATCTTCACCTTCCACACCTCACACTTTGAAAAAAAGAAAAAAAAATGAAAAAAAAAAAAGAAAAAGAAGAAATGTCGTCCTCTATTACGGTTACACACAAAAATGAAAAAAGAAAAAAAGGGAAAAAAAGAACCACACAAAAAGCACCCAACTACCATGTTGCTCCAGAAATTGTCCGCATATTTTGTCCGAAAATAAAATTAAAAGATATTTAAATGTCCTTCAACCGTCCGACCCTCCATGTGTCCGCACATCGTTTATATTTCATGGGGTCATCTGCGTGTTGCTGCTCCCCTCAGCCCTCCCATCGGCGCGTGAGTGCGGCCCGCAGACCACAGTCACTCGTGTGTGTGGGGACTGAGAGAAGCACGCAGACATGACGGGAGTCGCGTCACTCCATCGGGAGAGTGAGCGCAGCAAAAGCAAAAAATCTTAAAAACACGGCGGCAGGGTGTGGCTGTGTGTGTGGCGCTGCGGGTGTCTGCCCGCCCTGGCCGCAAAAACAAAACAAGAGGGAAGAAATGTGTGCTCCGCCCCACAGGCCCTCGTCGCACGCCCACACGTCACGGCTCCCTCAGCGCGCCGTTCGTCGCGGCCCCTCCTCATGCGTGCAGCAGGCGAGGCGCACAGGGCCGTCGTCATGAGCGTGTCGGTGGTGTGCGAGTGGAGCGGTTGGGCGGGAAACACACGGCACCCTCACAGGAAGAGTGCAGAAGAAACAATTAAAGAGTAGAAAAGAAAAAAAACGTCCATAGTGATTGCCCCCAAAAGTAAAAAATAGAAGGGATGGGAGATGAAAAATAAAAACTAAAAATTAAACAAATTAAACCATTAAACCATTAAAAATGAAAAAAAAAAAACGTTCATATTGGTTGCCCCAAGGCAACAAGCAAAAAAGGGGGAGAAAAAAAAAAAAACAGAAACCATTTTATTTAAAAAGCAAACAAAAATAATTAAAAAAAAAACAAAAAAACATAATAAATTATACTCCGAACAGAAAAGAAAAAAAAATTTTTAAGCCGAAAAAAAAAACGTCCATGGTGGTTGCCCTAAAGCAGCAGAAAAAAAATAGAAAAAATTAAAAGGAAACAAAAACAAATTATTCTCTGCGCAGTAAAATTTATTCCTAGAGGTGTGTGCGTCGGTGTGGGGAAGGGCGCAAGTGTCCAACACCAAGGCCGCACACTCCTCACGCAGCCGCAAACCCCCACAGTCCCAGCAGAAGAAGCAGCGGCAGCAGTCCGCTCCCACGCATAGTGCCAGCAACGCTGTTATCCCACTGCGACGAATTTAAAAGGCTGCTGCTGAGTGTCGCCGCCTCTGCTTTCTTGACCTGTGGATGGAGCCCATTTTTGCCCTTGCCTTCAGCGTTATGTGCTGCTGCATTTGCTGCGTTGGGGTTGCCCACAGAGAATTGGGTTGGTTGATCTGCCTGCATCATATCTCCACCTTCCGTCCCCACCGTTTGTGCATCATCAGATGAGAAAGCACCAAAATCAGTAATGGCGGCGCTTGAAGATGTGGCAGATGCCGGCTGGTCTGCAGTTCCCTCCCTAGCTGAGGATGTCGCGGCATTGGGCTCCGCTGGTTTCGGCTCTTCTGATTCCGACTCCACCGGTTTGGGCTCTTCTGATTCCGACTCCGCCGGTTTGGGCTCTTCTGATTCCGACTCCGCTGGTTTCGGCTCTTCTGATTCCGACACCGCTGGCGTGGATGGAGCGCCACCGCTTGCACCACTGCTCCCGTTCGAGGTTACTCGTGTCGTCGGCTGTGGTCCGGCAGGAGTGGGTGCTGGCGCAGTTGGCTGTGTATTTGTGGTCATCCTCTCGTTGGCAGGTCCAACGGACGGAGAAGTAGCTGCCGCCGCCGGCACCGGCTTCCTTTCCGGAGGTGGAATGGTGACTTTACTCGCGTTGAGGGCACCAATCTCAGTGTCATTCAACGGGCGGTTGTACAGAAAGACGTTCGCCACCGTCGCATGGATTTTTCCGCTGCTCAGCTGCTCATCGTACGCGCCAAAGTAAAAGTGTGAGACCGTGTCCAGCCCTTCATTGAACGAATTTCTCAGCCTCAAATTCCAAAGGAGAGTCCCGTCAACGTACACGGAGCCCACACCGTCATGCATTTTGAGCACCACGTGATACGTCTTGTCCAGCTCCCATTTGGTTAAATACCTTAGGTACGACCCGTGCACCACGCTCCACCTCATATTATTATCGTACGACAGTCCCAGGAGTGTTGTCTTCCCCATTTTCTCCAGGCCCATCAGGGGAGTGATGCCCGTCGGCACCTCGTGGATCGACACCGTTGCCGCAAGAGTAAACCCATAGTTTGCAAAGTGGAGTGGTCTGGTCGGCCACTGCTTGTCCACAGGCCACTGGGCCCCTGCGTCATGCCCTTCGAACGTCAACCCACTGGGAACCTTTTTCGTCGCACCCCTCACAACAGCATTCACCCCAAGGTACTCGTCCTCCCACTTGTCCCCACGGAGCCTATCGGCCAAATGGCCCACAAGCCCAGCCGTGGGGATAGGAACAGAACAGTCCCATCTTGACAGCGCGGCGTTCGCGGCAATTGAGCTGCATTGTCTCAAGGCAATGTCATTTGCGGCCCAGGTAGACAGCGCACGCCTTATCCCCTGCAGCTCAGACGTCAGATCCAGGAAGAAGGCTGAGTCGCTTCCACCACTGGTCTCGTACAAACAATACAGCCTATCATCCGCGTACAACAGGGAGCTGGAGGTCGCGCCATACCCAGTGGGTAACTGGCCAACGTGGTAAATGCGGTTCGTGTCCGTTAGCCACAGGTGAATCTCGCTCTTTCGGTTGTCCCCGAAATATTCCAGCTGGGTGAGGAGGATCACCTTCTTTCCATCAATGGTTGCAGTGATGAATCCACTCTGAATGTGGAGCCCAGAACCGGCCAATGAGTTGCTCCACACGCGCGAGAGCGTCCCCAGAGCCTCCTTCCACGTGTTCCCCTTGTCAGTCGACTCGTACACCCTTCGGCGGCCGTACTCACATGAGGTGATCATGATGATTTTACCAGCATCCCACTCAAGGATACTGGGGCTGGTGCAGCCCGCATGTGTCGCGCTGTTCGCAAAGGTCCAGCGCTGTTGAGTGAAATTCATGTACATGATTGTGGACGCAGTGTTCCCTCCAAATGTCAGAAACTGCACGGGAAACACGAGCGTGTTATCCGTCATTCTCGTGATGGGAGTGCTGGCATCGTTGAGGAAGCCAATCAAGTCGTCGGATTTATAGGGATAAGGAAGGCTAATGCTCATAGAGTCGGAATTCATCGACAAACCTCCGCTTCGTCCAGGCCCCGTCTCCAGAAAATGGATAACAGACTCCAACCCACTTCCCCGCTCATCGGGAAACCGAATTATGGCCCCAGTCCGTAAGTCGTAGCCCTCCACAAAAGCAAAAAGCGGTCCGAAGAGTCTGAAAGGCGTGGTAAACAACATCTGGTGAAGGCGTGCAGCAAAAGCGTCAAGATCTTCTGGTCCCGCGTACGAACTCCAATTCACCCCACGATTCATGCTGAGCTGCGCCGCCAACTGCATGGACGCACTCCCGCTCCCCACAGTTCTATTGAACTGAGCTCCAGCAATGGCCAGCAGCATCCCGTCCACATTCACAAGATGGGGATTGCGGAAAATGTGGCCAGGGACCGGTGGGTTTGCGGCCTGATGCCCCCTTTGCAACTGCCTCGAACCTTGTCCTCCATAGGAATCGCCCATTCCCGTTCCAAAGCTTTGGGCCTGTGCAGCTCCACCGCAGCACATCATCACAACGAGGAGAAGAAGCAGCACCGCGGAAGCAAACACACGCCGGGACATGTGGGGCCTCTGCGGCTCACTCTCTCTTCCTTCCCTCCTCCTTCCGCGGGATCCGGTCACGCCGCGATGGTTGTGTGTGCGGGGTGCCTTCACAGCAGCAACACGTGAGAGCATATAAATATGTGTGTGGGGGGGGCAATGTGTGTTGTTGTTGGTTCTTTCAGTGCCCTCAAATTTCACAGTAGCGATTCGCGCTTGGTCGTAGCTTCCTTCCTAGCCTGAGTGTGTTTGCGCGCAGGAAATCAAATTAAAATCTAAAACGCACCAAAAAAGAACGTGGAAGAGAAGTGGGTGGCGCCACCATCTGCAGTGTAACACATCAGCGTTGTCGTAGCCGCCACAGTAATTACTCTCACCGTCCACAACGGCTCAAGCACTGTGAGGCCACACACAGAAGCAGAGACATTGACGGTTGCGCACGGGCCAATACACCCTCCGGCAAACGGCACCAACCAACAGACAGACAGCAGAAATTAAAGGCAAGCAGAATCCCAAGTGCTGCGGGATCCTTGCAAGCACCGCTCCCTCACTGTAGAACCTTTAAAGCGTTCCTCGCTGCAACATCCCCCGCAACCTGCTCTGTGTGTTGGTGGATTTTCCCGTTCACCGGAAGAAAAACAGCGGGACGCTTCGGCAGTGGTCGAAGACACACAGAGCGCACCGTCGACGCGATCAACGAGCGCAGACACTCGTGAGGTGAGATCCCACAACCGCGATCCCTAAATTTGCTCTCGTGGACGTGAAGGAGGCATGAAATGTCCTCTTCTCTACAGTAGTCCCGAAACGCAAAAAAATTCCGCAGGACATCCCGCGCAGCCACGGCCTCCTCAGCAGCCTGACAGCCCACGCTGCCGCACCGCTCCTCAAGGGGTCGCCAGGCCCGGTAAGGCAAGCAAAAGGAGAGCAGCAATTTGGTCAAGACGTTCAAAAAAATGAGGCCCAGCAGTCGGGTAGGCGAGGCCCATCCACGTCCTCCCCCTCAACCGACCCACCACACAGTCGAATCACACCCCTGAAAAGAGCTGCGGCGTCTAACGAAATAGCACGCACAATAGCACCTCATGCTCTCCTCAATGAAGTGTCGTGGCACACACGAGGCATCACAGGAAGGGGCAAATAATTGCATTCCATCGGCATAAGCACGGAAGTAAAGCGCGGATTTTGCCCCTGTGAACTCCCATCCAAATCGTCTCAGCCACAGAGTTTGTGCCGCCGACCCTCAGGAAGGGCTAATGCATCAACTGCCGCTGACCGATTCCCCAACAATGAAACAAAAAGAGCCACCGCCTCTCGAATTTCGTCATCACCCATTCCTCCCATTGAGGGAAGGAAACGCAAAGTGACGGTGTGGGCGTGTCTAGCCGACAGAAATGAAGGAAGTGACTCCAGCCGCGGAATAAGTTGGACGGATCCTCCTCCCAAACCCTTCAAAGAGAGCGGTCGTTCAGCTGCCGAGGTTGACGGCGCGGAGGACAACACATTGAATGTATGGAGCACCGCAGCAACCTGAATATATTCTGAAATATCCGCGGCCAGTTCATGAAAGTACAAAGAAGGGACAGCAAATTCAAAGGAGCGTGTGAACCCGTCAGTGATCACCCGCGCCGGAGGATCGCCACCCCACCCTCCAAGGGCACTTCAACGACGTCAAATATTTCCACCGCACGGCACCCACAACACAATCGCGTGGCATAATGCATCGCCTTGCAGCACCCCATGCAATGCGGCAATCGAAAACCATCTCGAACACGGCGTGCGACAAATATACCAAAAAAGAAGGCGCAGCAAATACCCTCCACATCTCAGCAGCTCCAATCATCCAGTAAAAGGCAGGAGCACCAGACAGTACCCACGGACTCACCGAATATGGCGTCAAAAGGCAGCGAAACGTCAGATGCCGAAAAGGCCCGCACTTCTCCCCCGTGACACTTCCACGGATGAATACAAATGCCGTGCCCTGCGGCCTCTCGACCGCTTCGAGACAACTTTGCGGCCACATGGCGACGGCTCAATGTGGCTGGCGATCAGATCCAGTCGTCGCGGAAAAACAGTACAGAAAGTAGGGTGGTGAGCCCGCACATTCGCCCCTTTGGTGCCTGCCCCCACCGCAAGAGTGAAACACGTCTTCCCAACAGCCACGCTTCGGGTGGCTGAAACACCTGCCCTCACACCGGCGATGACATCTGCAAGCATCTGTAATTGCTAAACACCGCCCGTCAGAAAAAAAAACAAAAACGGCACTCAACCCCTGCAGCCACACATCCCTCGTAACCATTTGCAAACTCGTTATCCTGCAGAAACACCCGAACAACATAACAAGAAGACCGTGCATTGCTGGCAAGGGACAAGAGCACGTTGCTTTCATCCTGCAACAGAGTATTATGCCTCCTGCGTAACGCGGCCACAAGTACGTGGTGCACCAACACCGAAACAGAGGGCATGTTGCCCCATGACCCTCCCCCTCCACAGGGGCCCAAGAAGTGCAACAGACCATCCTCTCACCGAAGAAAAAGCCAAATGGAGCGGGCACTGCAGTGTGCGGACCACCCAGAAGGAACACCCTCAGAGAACGAATGCTCTTGAATGCCCTTCAGAAGAGACCAGCAGGTTGGCCGTAAAGCCAACAAACACCGGAGAGCCACCTGCTCTGCACGCATCCAATGACGCAATTGGGAGCGCAGTGTTGCAGGGCACATCAACCAGCCTGTTCTCGTCTCCGTCTGTGTGGGCATGACAGTCGTGCCATCACCCTTCGCCCTCACAAAGTATTCCACAGGGTCCTTTGAGCCGGAGACCACCACACGGCGATATGCCAGCGGATGAGTGCTCTCCATACCGCACAAAATAAAATGTTCCCACGTCGAGGAACGCAGTGAAAACGGGCACAACGATGAGCAACACGAGGGTTGTCGGTGCTCGAATTCATCACAACACTCTACCCCCCGTTGGTTCAGGCCTCTGCCACACGAAGAGGCACAGATGTAACATCACTTACACGCAACAGAGTGAAATCTGCAAGAACATCGTCAGAGTCATGCAGGACGCAACAAACACCAGCCCGCTCAGCAGCTGTTGTGGCAATATTCCGCGAAACATGATCCACGTCCACAGAGAACTTGTTGTCCAGTTGCACAAATAATTGTTAGGCCAAGCAACGTGGGCCCAAGAAAGAAGACACCAGTCGACATTAGGCCTTGGAGCCGCCAGTGAGAGCCATTGATTGGAATAAACATCAAAGCCCCCAGCGGCCAAAAAGAACTGCAACAAGGCACTCGTACTTCAATCAAAGAATGGATTCGTCTCGTCCAGGAAGAAGAAAGAATAAATAATATTTTTCCTCCTCACAGAGCCTTCCAGCAATGAAACACCATCATGCGTTCCACCCCTATCGGCATTACTCAGGAGCACAAGAACTGTGCAATGTGTAGAGGGCTCTGCAAACAGGCGAAAGAGACGCTCCACGGCAAAAAACAGACTCCTCACAGGCCAAGCATCAACCAGTCGCAAGCAGCATGCCTCTTCATGGACTCTCCGCTTTGGTTCCAACCGAGATGGAAGGCCTTAATGGCTCAGCACCAACCCCGCGTTGCGTCGTGTCGTCAAATAAAACAAGTGAGGATGACAGAGTGCATCATCGGGGAAATCGCCCTCAAATGTGGGAAACGGCATCGCACCCGCCGGAAACAGGTGCGCATGATGTCCCTCCACGTCAGCCGCGCAGCCTGTCAGATGGAGGAAAATTCGGAGAAACGGAAGTCAGCGCACTCACCTCCACCTCAGGAAGTTTTATCAGGACAATCGAATCATCAAGTCGGGGGCTCCACACTTGTTGAGGGATATTGTGACGCTCTGACACGTTCAAATGCATGTTCACACAATGTCCTACTTCCTTTTCCCCCGCCGCACGCGTCCGTATCGTCTTTTAAGCCACATCAAGGACAGAATAGATAGCGAGTGGCACCTGGTCAGCCAGCGCCGTTCCATTCCTTAAAGCAAGGAAGCTACCAGCCTCAAAATCACCCGTCCATCAATCAGTGATGCCGTTGGCACAATGCCTCCTCTGGCCAACGCCACACACTTGTTCCGAAGTACACGTTATCCCATGCCTCGCTGACGCCGCCCTCAGCATCCCCTACACAGGTACACCGTGCATTCACTCCCAAAATACGGGTGTGGGCTACACCTCAAGAAAACTGCACAATGAACCTGCAAACTTCTCGTTGAAAGTTATCATTGTGTTGGGTGTCATGGGCAACGCAATCACACGTCGCAGCTCCTCAGGAGATCAGAAAAGGTAGCAACCATCATTCAATTGCGATGGGCTTCGCAAACCCTTGCGACTTTTTGTCCGATGGGGTGCTTCAGTGCATATGAAACCTTGTCCGCGGGACGGAATGCCTATGCGCTCTAAAAAAATAAGCGGAAACTCACGGGAGAAGGATACATTATACAACAAAAGCAGAATGCCACAGAATAAAAAAGAACGGTGAAACAATTATATGGAGGGATATAAATACAAATATAAACAAATACAAGTATATAAATGTTGGAATTGATAAGTAAATATTAATATTTTTTATTGATCTACACATATAATCAGCAAACTAGCAAACCAATAAATCAGCCAAAGCAAGCAATCTGTCAATAAGAAGCAGAGAGAAAAGCATATACATATTTAAAAATATACATAAATTAATATGAATACAAATATAAATATAGTTACATATCCATAACGACTTATTTGTACACCAATCAATGTTCATTTTCATATTTATATATATTGTCCACAGTTTTTATTTAAATTTATTTATATTTTTAGTAAATTCTGGAAAGAATGTTCGCCAAAAAAGTGGCTAGCTAATTTCATAAACACATATCTCCTGATAAACGAACTCTGTACGAATTTTCTCCCATCTTATGATCGTTTGGCAGGCCGTGGTAAAAAAAAAAAAAGACCAATAACGCCAAGATTATTCGTCCTTATTTTTATTTTTATTTTTACCTTCCCACCCGCCCCCTTTGATTCCCTCATTGCGGGGTCGTGTAGCTGGAAGATCTTAAATTCCACCATTTTTTAACCAATAATATTTCTAATCCTAGGAAAGTGCGGCATG